GCGCCAACCACGCTTAAACGATATGTGACGTGATCGACCAAACACCGAATTGTACCGGATCATGGCCACCGCATATTGTCCTACTGTTATCTTTTGAATCAGGATTTGAAGCCATCAAACGAGTGTGTTCCGGCTGTGAATCGAGGAGAGGCATGAACTTCCGCTTGAAAATTCGGCAGTGTTTAACTTACAAATGAACCAAATCGATGTGCTAAAACAATCGATGACAAAAAGCCGCACAAATTTAAAGTATTGGTGCAATATTACGGTACATATTATAGCCCACATCCGGGTTGGTGGACCACTGGTAGTTCACCTAGGGGAGTTGACTAAAAACCGTGATTCCAAACCAACCATGAGGAGACGTACGAACCACATTTACCCATGCCCTCTTCGGTGTGGCAATGGTCACCGGCTCAATTGAGCACCTTGGAATTTTTAGCCCGTCCTAAGGGCGTATGATCCGATGAACGGGACACTGGTCCCCAATTGACTGCGGCTTTCAAACACCGCTCTGCTGTCTTGGGGGTCAGGCTTTGGCTAACTAAAGGCTCCGTTTGTGGATTTCTCAAGAGAATTCACCTGCCTTGGCCTGGGCAACCGGGCAGTACTCCACCCACATGTAAATCACGGAACGTTTTTCTTTCCTTCAAAGGTTTGTTTGGAACAAAGTCTGGTGTCAGACGTGTGTGAAAATGTAAATGTATAATATTATTATCTGCAATTTCAAATTAGGCTGCTTAGCAATGAAAGACAAACGTAAACGATTGCGGTTTTGTTAACGAACTGCGAGTGATGGTGGTGATGCAGTGGTTGGTCGCTGCCACAGGCGTGATTTAGACCATATGGTCTGAGTTTCCAGCCTCGCCACCGCTATCCAACTTTGATGGTAGACGGCTGTGCTATCGTACGGTTCAATACCACGCCTAGTCTATTGGGGCCTTATGTGATTCACCAATCTGAGTCCCGGGGCTTAAATTACCGGTTTTCATTACTGAACAGTAGGCCCTTGTGACTACAGGGTTTACCCCGTCTGTCGTTCATCACACAAAAGCGTGTACTAAAAAAACATTCAAAAAAAATCGCGATGAAACAGTTAGACGAAAGAACAACAACACATGAAACAAAAATATAGAATTCGTATCAAGTCTAACACATGTGCGATACTAACTAACTCACTTTGTTCAAAATAAAACTTGTGGAAATCTGCACCTTCTAACAGATTGCCGCATGATTCCGGTCCGAAATAGGTGAACTGAGGATCCAGGTATTTTCTAAAAAAAAATAAACCATCGATTATAGTGAATAAGTTCGACTAGAATCGGGGCACAGTGAGTTTGAAAAATCGCATTTCAGCATCATTCCGATGTTTCTTTGAATATTATTGATATACGACAAAGCAAACATGTTTGTTTCATCGTTATTAGGTTATGGTGAAACATACAAAATAAGTTCTTTTTCAAAATAAATGTGAAGTACTGATGAAGATAAAAACGAATGTATTAAGGCTATAGTCAATGGTGTTCATCCATACATACACGTATCTTAGATCAAAGTAACCTTGCATCAATTAAAAGTAGGGACATTCGTATTACCAGCTGTGACTTATACCGCAAGGCTGAGTAACCATTGGATGTTCTTGTTATTAGTCTTTATTCGGTTAGAATGTTTTTAAAATATGACAATGTACAGTTAGTCAATGTACGCTGACCATGGAAACCTACTCACGTCTCCTCCTCCCCAACTAACATTGTGTAATTTGCTAGCTCGGAAGAAATTAGCGAATTTTACTTCATTGTATTCCGTTGAGAACGGATAGTTTCTCCATTTATCACCCAATGTGCTTTCCTCGGACGACACAGCCAAAACATTATGCTTCAAAGGTGCAATTGAAATTTTATTGGGTAGTAGGGTTCATCACTCTGAGTATCCAGACGATGGTGCAATGTTGAGTAAAAAGCCATGCAGGTGGTAAGCTTTCTAGTCATTTTTGACCAATAAGATCTAGATGATAACAGAATTCCAGGTTACATTTTGCCTAGCTGGGTTGGATGAGGCATGCTGCGCATGTGCTGTAACCATTAGTGAGACGTGACCATAGCGTGCAGAAGTCAGATTGTTGACATTTAAACACCGATTTATTGCAGAATCTCACAAATTTGAAGTTTAATCGTAGCATCAATGCTGCGGCTTCCTGTAGGGTGCTAGACTACTAATGTCGGGCGGACGGGCACGGGTGTTTCATTGACAAACTAAAGTGGCTGAAACGCGTTTCGCATATCCACAGGTGGGCATCCTCGGTGAGTGAGTACGGAGAAAGAAAGGGTTAAGTCAATCCATAACTTGTCAGAAAGATTGGAAAACGGTGAATACAGCAGGTCACGTAGTGTTTTCTCAGAGCATGCTCAACCGGCAACAAAAAGACCCCACACTTTGTATTTGTTACTGTTGTGGAAAGAACTGCGGGGAGAGAGTTACCAAAGTATCTTGTTACGGAGCCCCTGTGGAAATTGTTGGACATGCGCCACGAATGATCCCCAGCAAAAATGAAAACAACTTAACTGTGCTTTTAACGCTTTTATCTGCATGACAGGTCTATATTTCGAAACAACCCTGCATTAGTTGAAATAAATCAACTAAGATCGTCCCCATTCTTAGTTTTAGACTCAGTGATGAGTCCTATTTGTGTGCGATGCCTTGAAAAAATCGATAAAGAATAAGACTGTACGGGACTAGGATATAGCGCATGCAACGACTTGCAATGCGTGGCTTAGCCAATCGACGATAGGTATCCGGCCTCTACAACACGCAGCACCGTTCAAAAAAGAGGGCGTGATGTACCCTGCATGGATCATTGAACTCAAGCATCCGTCATAAGTTCGGGGGGAGAGTTCACGAATCAATTTCAAAATGCGGATTGCACTACCGCGCAGTGACACAGAGCAGAACATCATAAGACAATGACAAAGAACAGAGCGATATTCAGATCAAGCAGTCACAGTGGATCCGGATGAATGGGCAAGTTTGCGCGTGATTCAGACTGCAATAGCTGTATGAACAAACGGAAAGCCATTCCAACTGTTACAACAAATGATAAACTGAACAAAGACATTTTGAACAGAAAGAAATTTGTGTTTGGAGCAGTGATGAAACTGAGGGAATGTTTGATGCCCAGTGAGCAATGGGAAAAAGCGATTTCGTTTAGGTTCCCTCTGTATGGATTCGAGTTGCGTTCCGTGGGTCTCAATCACGACATTGTACGTGAAAAGGTATGCGAAAGAATTTACGGAGGTGGGAGGTGGAGAAACCGAAAAACCTCGACGAACTTACAGGTATGTGTCGAAATCTCCAGCAGCAGCTGCAGCCAACAGTTGCTCCGTGGCTCGGATGATATCTTGTTTTTTACCTATGGAATGAAAATAAAAAGCATGGGCTCGTGAAGTGATCAAGACACAATTGTAATTGAGCAGATGAAGTAGCAACGTTAATGCAGTACGCATCACACGGCAACAAAAAAACACAAT